GAGTACCTTACCAGTTTCAAGTTAAAATAATGGAGCATAAAAAATGTTTCACCTTATACAATTATTTCACTTTATGAAATTATTTCATGCTGTATGATTTTTCCGCCAATGTGAGCATTTGGCTGGTATATCAACCTAGTGACAAATACATTCTAACTTCAACAATCTGACCGTTTAAAAAGCATGAGTGAGGAAAAAAATCACTCAACTGATATAACTGGAATTCTAATTTCAGATCTTCTTGGCCTCACTAAATATGTCTCATAATATATATGGCTTTATTTTCATACCTGCAGAAGTAAAGAGAAAGCATGCCATGAGAAATTAACTGATAAATTGTTACAAACCACACAAATATAGGAGGCGGAGTCACTGATAAATAATATCGTACATTCATTCTGTGTTTCAGAACCCACCATATCCTTATTTTCCCAGGCATGTACCATTAGTATATTGGTCAGCATTAGATTGGATGGCTTAGTTCATGTATAAAGAATGTAACGTAACAAAGGAGGAAAATTTATTTTTTGTTTGCAGAAATGCATATAAAAATAGTTGGTCTGTCACATTATTACATAAACCATTACTAATGGGTTACTGAAAGTGGCCACGAAGTGACAGTAATATAAGCTTTATTTTCTCAGAAAAATCTCATATTCGTGGTCTAGAATAGAGTCCAGCCTGACTCTCAGACATTTGACTGATAATTGGCCTCTTAATGCATCAGAAGTTGTCAGAGGGAAGACAAGCGCCACCCTCCCCAGGGTCCCTTGGGCCCAGCCCATCGGCAAGCCAGTGAGGTGTGTGCTTGCCCTTCCCAACTAGACTCAATTCTTGGTTGGATTCCAATTTCAGCAACGCCATCAATTTGCTCTGTGATTTGGGCATTTTAACTACTTTTCCACTGGAGAAAGAAATAGTAATAACTTCAGTTCATCTCACAGGAATGTAGTAAGGAGAAAACAAAAGAACGCATGTGTAAGTGTTGTGAAAATCTACAAATCCAAATGCAAATGTAAATATTATTTTCGTGGGAGCCTGAAAGTACTCAACCTTTTGTTTCTAACTCCAACCATGGGAGAAGGAGTTCTGTTTCCTTTTGTGGCTGATTTGAACAAAAGGCACAAACCATCGTCTCCCTTGGACTTTTCTCTAGTTCATGCGTTTAGCTTAGAGAAGCCTTTGGTCAGCAAGCTGCCAGCTCACAGTGTTGAAAGGAAATCCGAACTCCACTCCCAGTCAGGGGCGTGGAGGGGAAGGAACAGGAAAGCTCCCGAAACAGCCCTAGTCTCCAAGGGGAAATTCGGCGGGACTGCAGAGGTAACCACAACACACCATCTGTGACAGACCCCTGTAGTGAACCAGGTTTGGTTTAAAACTGAGCAACAGCGGGCATAGCTTGACTCGACCTAAAGCTGACCTAGGACAGAGTCTCGACTGTTGAGATAGAAATTACACAGGTTTGGCCCCAAACATAAGAGATGACGTGTGAAGGGTCTTCCTACCTCAGGGACTGATCTCCATGAAGTTTGCTCTGCCCAGAACATTCCTCTTCACCTCATCCTTTCTTACACAGCACTTTCTTAGGGCGTGTCTTTCCAGCTGACACCCCCATCTCACCCCTGTCCAAATTATACCCAGTGTTAAAACTCAGAGGACCCCTTGCTTCTGCTTTATAATCATTGTTTGGAATTAGCGATTCATTAATATGACTGATTACTGTCCGTTTTTCTCTCTCCCCACCCCCAATAAGAACCCTGAGGACAGGGAACAGTTTGATTTCATAGCAACCCCAGAAGACAGCAGAATGTGCATCACGGGCCCATGTTAAATATTTATTACATGAGTGAGGAAAGAAACACAATCTGAAAAGAACTTGTAAAACAGATGATTTCAGATCACAAATCATTTCTAGGAGGGCACATTTATGGAAATCTATGCTATCTGCAATAAAACCTTTAATTTACCTTTGCTCAGGGAGGACATATTACAAATGAAAGGAAACCATAAAATGAGGAGGTTAACAAATCAATTTTAACACCAAGTTAGCAGTCGGGAACATGCCGCACACCCCATATGAGGAGTTTTAGGGACTGGGTGCTTTGCTTACAAGGTCCCAGCTGGCCAGGTTTAGACATGTTGAAGAAGGGACATGAAAAGGGCAGAGCTATGCTCCCCAGTCTTGAAGGCACGAGCTCAGTCGGGGGACTTCAGAGAGAAATTCTCTCTGGCCCAGGTACCATGTGATAGGACAGGAAGCTGCAGGGAGGGCCACCTGGTCTTTCCCAAGCATCAGACAGCTCCCAGAAGCACAGTGTTGTTACATTGAGTTTACTTTCTTCTGTTCAGGAAAGTTGAGAACTGTGACCCATTGGGCATTCACTCGTATGAGTGTAAATATGTGAGAAAGATCAAATTTCAAAAAAAAAATTATTCGAGCTCTGCAGCCAGATAAAGCAGTTAATGTTTCTAGTTTATATTGAACTATACTCCAAGACACCAGATTTTTTTGGATAAAAGTCAGCCCCCCATCTCCTTTCCACCTGATTTTTCTCTCGCACACATGTATTTAAGCACTATTTGTTGCCAATTTTAAAAAATAAGGTTACCTTGTGATCATCCTTATCTTTCAATTATTCTATGCAACACATAATTAGGTTTCATCTTTCTCACTAAATAGCTTGACTTTGTGACTTTCTGGGAGCTAAGTGCACCCCATGTGTGTGTTAAGCAAATATAGAGAATAAGAATGCTGAGTAATGAAGATCATGTCTTTTCTGGGGCTTTTAAAGCTATAAGGTTTCTTTTCCTTCCTTCAAAAGATTGTACACAATAAGTTACACTGCAAATAAAAATGAATTAAGTGAGACTGAGAGATCAGCGAAGAAATAAAGAGGCGCCACTTTCTGTAGCAGGCCTTTAATGGATGATGCTTTGGGGCTATCAATTTGGAAAGAAAAAAATCAAATAAAAATCTATTCCATACTTATTTTGAAGACTGCATCCTTTTCTCTGTTTTCATCTATAACTCTGCCAAGGTTTTATTTCATGTAAGATCTATGTCCCAACATTCCACAAATTCTAATCCATAAAGGCAGACAGAAATTAAACAGCTTAAATGCTGTTCAGTAATTTCAAAATGACAATAAGTAGGACACTTTCTCCTACGTATCACCCACCCTACAACTCCCCCTTTATTTCACCATTGCTCCCACTACTACTAGCAGAAATCCAAATGGGCCAGATAATAAAGGTCCAAAGAGGTCTTTATATGCTTTCAATTTTATATTTAAAGCCAGTCTCAGGCTGTGAACTGCATTCATCCTTGGGATTGTTTTATTTTTCCTTTGGGAAAGTAAGAACAAGTCAGGATCAGAGAGCAAAGCGCCATTTGTTTCTCCTTGTGGAATCTCTCCTTGACGCCATTTAGTAGCAGCTGGAAGAGCATCCAGCAGAGCTCCTTCAATAGAAAATGTTCAGTGTAAATTTAGCAAAAGAATGAGTGAATGAAAAAAATAACACAATTTCCATTGCTTTGAAGTGAATCACTTCCATCCTGTTATCGTACTACAGTTTGGAACCTCGTGTTAATCAGGCATCACACAGAAAGTTTCAGGCCTCCCTGCAGAGAAAGGGACCATGGCACAGAAATGTGCTTCCATGTGGCTTCCGGAGCTCAGAAAGAAGGACCCGTGCTCATTGGTTGGGCGCCACGTGGAGTCGGTACAGTATCTTGTCTGAGACACACAGGAGCTTCTCCAAGAAGAGAACGGATTGTTTGGGGTGTGAGGCAAAGTAAGGTTCCCAGAAGCAGAAATGTTTTAAATGTTTTCATTTAGGCGAGGCAATGAGCTGTCTAAATCAATCACCACCCCTAACCTTGATCCTTAAGACCATTAGAGAGATACAGTGTGACTTACTCTAAGAGAAATCTTGGCTTTTATCCGACCTACAGTTGAATCTCGTGCCTATATTTTTCCTTTGCTTTTTCACTTTTTTCTCTCGGTGACTGTGGAATTTCCCATTTGGTTTCTTTATAGGGGACCTAGTGCTTAAAGGGAATGGGGGAATGAATAAATTCTCATACTGAAAAGATCGTCTCAGACTGCCTGAATAACAGTGTAAGTTTCTAGCTTCTCCGTGCCGTAGCTCTAAGGGGTTGCTTAAGGCCACCACCCAGCAGATGTGCTTGTGGGTCAGGGACCGGGTAACTGTCATTCCTTCCTTGGGCACTAAGGGGCTTCCCCAGGGAGTGGAGACTTCAAGGAAAGGTACTATGCCCCACGTACTCAGTGGCAGGACAAACTCCCTTTAAAGGCAAATTTTGCAAATAAGAATAACCTTGAAAAAGACCCCTCAGACGCAGATCAATGGTCAGGAACGTTGCCAACTACTTAACTCCCCTTTGACATTTCACAGATGTGTTATTTACGCGGGAAAAGAGACCGCCTTCTACTCCCAGCCAATTCCCTGCTGGGTGTCTCCGGGGTGAGGGGGGGGATGGGGTGAGGTGGGGTGGGGTTGTCTGTTGAGCCGCTGGGGAAATATGCACCCACTCTCCTCTCCTTGGTCAACTCGGGTCACCTTGACAGAGGGCTCCCCTACACCTCTGGGAATACTTCTGTGGTACCTGTGACCTGAGCCTCTCTGGGGAATTCTCCTATCAGTCCAGGAGGTCTCCTGGGGGTGCTCGCTTCCCAGCCCCTTGGATCTGCCTGAAAGCAGAACCATCCAGAGGTACCCCCACCGCACTCCCCTCAAGCTCTGGGAAGGCTGCGGGGCTGCGCTAGTCATTAATGGCCATCATCCATTTTTAATAAGAAAGATAACGAAAAGGATGGGTAAGCGAATCCCAGTCGCAAGTCAATTTAAATAACATTCTTGGGGAAATCCAATCACTTAAAACTGAGACACCTACGCGAGCAAGAGCCCCCGCCCGCCTGGAGGGAAAGAGCGACGGCTGAATTAATTAAGACTGGGTGCTCCGGAGCCGAGTGCGGAGCGTTAACCGTTCCAGGCCCGGAGGGCGACAAGGAGGCTGGGGAGAGCGCCGCGGGCCGGGCCACGATGCCCGCGGCAGCCCCGCGCAGGCTGCCCCTGCCATCTTGGGCGGCTCCGGGCGGCCCGCGCCGGGCCCTGGCGGCCGGGAGAGCGGGGTTAAGATCAGAAGCTCAGGAAGCTGCTCCGGCTGCAAGGAGCTGCCGCCGCCCGCAGCCGCCGCGCGTCTCCGGCTCCTCCTCCCGCCCGAGCGTGGCCAAGTGAGGACGGCTCCCGCCGCAAGTAGCGGAGGCGCGGAAGGCGGCGCGCGGGACCTGAGCGGAGCGCCCGGGGAGGGGCCGACGGACACGCGGACAGACGGACTCCCCGATCCCTAGCCCCGGACCTTAGCGACTACCCGCGCCCGCCATGTGGGGAGCTGGGGTCACGGCCGAGGGCTCGTCGGTGGCGCCGGCCCCGCCAGCGCTGCTGCGGCTGTTGCTGCTGCTGGCGTTGGTGGCGCCCTCGCGGGGCGGCGGGGGCTGCGCGGAGCTGGCGTGCGGCGGCGGGGAGCGCTGCTGCGCCGCGGCCAACGCCACGGCGGTGCGCTGCTGCCGGCTGCCGCTGCACGCCTTTCTCGACAACGTGGGCTGGTTCGTGCGCAAGCTCTCGGGGCTGCTCATCCTGCTCGTGCTCTTCGCCATCGGCTACTTCCTGCAGCGCATCATCTGCCCCAACCCCCGCAGGTACCCGCGCGGGCAGGCGCGGCCCGGGCAGGCGCGGCCGGGGACGCCTGGGGACGCGGGGCCGCCGGGAGCCGCGGGGCCGCCCGACGACGACGACGATTCGCCCGCGCTTCTGCGGGATGAGGCGGCTGCCGGCTCTCAGGACTCGCTCCTGGACAGTGGCAGTGGCGGTCGCGGCCGCGGAGGCGGCGGGTTCTCGGTCGCCTCCTGCTCCTCCGAGCACGAGCTGCGGTTAGTGTCGCCGGCCTTCTTGCAACTGCCCAGCTACGAGGAGGTCAAGTACCTGCCAACCTACGAGGAGTCCATGCGGCTGCAGCAGCCCAGCCCCGGGGAGGTCGTGCTGCCGGTGTCAGTGCTGGGCCGCCCTCGAGGGGGCGGCTCCGGGCAGCCCGACGGCGGCGAGGGCCGCTTCCCGCTCATCTGAGCGCCCGGGCCACTCCGGGACCACGCGGACGAAACTGGGCTGGGGACTGCGGGTGGGACGCCACGTCTGGGAAGGCCGCGGCCGCCAACGGCTGCCTGAGACCTCGCCTGCCACCTCAACCTCATTGCTCAACCTCCGGTGACTGGCTTGGGGTCACGCGTCCCCTGCGACCCTAAGTTTCCCTACGTTTCATCGGTTCAAGGAAACGTTAGGCACGAGCGGAGGGCGCCTTCGAAGGACGGTCCCCGCCCTCAGACTGTGTTCACTCGTAAGTGCCAGCTTCCCGAAGCCAAGAGAACGCGGAGCCCGTCAGAGCGCTGGGAGCAGGGCAGTGTCCATTGGGGACGAGGGGGAAGGGGCGCACTGGGCCGGAGCAGACTGCGGACTGCTGCGCTCGGGGCTGGGGAAGCAGCTCGCAGGTTTGGCCTGATGCCTCCCTTGAGAACAAGTCCCGAAATCCTTCCATGTCTTCCTGGCCAAGCATATTTACTACAGCTGATTTGGTGGGGGATGCTCGTCATGTCCTGTTAGCTGCTGTACCTATTCAAGATACAGGAATTACGTTTATCCAAGACCATACTCGTAATAAGGTACAGCTGGACTTTTGATTTTTCAATAACCGAGGAGATATTTATATTTGTCTTTTATTTTTGTATTTTGACCATGTATTGAACGTACCAGGAGGGTATTTCTGCAATTAATGACAAGATTGTCGTCTCACCACCCTTTCTATGCCTTAACGGCCCGGAAATTGCCCACACTGTCATGTCTGTCTAATAAAATATTGGACCTTATTTCACTTACAATGGGGGAAAAAAGAGGCGTGATCGGACGAGAAAACATGTGACTAAACCATGAAGGATATCTTATTTTCACTATTTGAGAAGAATAAATTTTATTTTTAGTACTGTGACAATATATGACTTTTTATAACTATACATTATGTCATCTAAGTCTTAATTGTATCATTTACCCCAGTTATATGTAACAATGATCGATGCATATATGCCATAACATGAAGCATGATGCCATGCACTCTGCCTCCATTTTTCATTCGGAATACATTCACATGCTTCACTTGCAACTTTTGTTTAAAGCCATAATTGTGCAGTAATGCACTACAAAAGGAGTCCGTCAACCTGTCCTAAGAAAAAAGTGTCATTGTATCAGTTCTGCCATTCTATGAAATGTCCTTTAAGCAAATGGTAAGATATTGAAATGCATTATGTTCATGTACATATGCATATTGTCTATATACAGTATACAGTTGGTATACTATATAAGTATTACAGTTTATGATTATCATGAAAGGAAAAGCAGGAAAACAAAAGAGGTTTCTCTGCTTGAAGAAGAATAAGTATGAACATTATGAGAGATTACATATTGTTCACAGACCTCACCGTGTATCCAAAATGTTCTAAGGATTGAAAAAGCCTGACAATCCTGAGACATTAAAATACCTGACTTGTTTTAGAAGAAAAGGATTTGATTGCTTTACATTTTAAAAAGCTGGTTGAAAAAGTCTGATAGTTCTAATAAATCTTAAAATGCCTCAATTGTGGTAGAAAAATATGTTTACTCTAAAATTCTAAAAGCTAATGACCCTGTCCTTAATACCATTTGAAGTGTATTAAAACAGAAAAACATTAAAATCTTTCTCTGTGCAAATTGTATCAGCTGTGTGACTATATGGTAATGAATATGAAATGTGTATCTTTGTCATGTAAAAGCAATTTAACTGTGAATTGGCAAAAGCATCAGGAGTTGAGACTATATCACTTGAGAATGAGAAATGAGTTAAGGAAATATTATATTGAATAATTGCATATATTTATGTTTCTCAAACACTGATAATTTTAGTTGCATGTGACTCAATACTATCCACCATTCAAACTGGAAAATTGTCATATTCTTTTAAATGATTTACCCTTTTAGAGAACACTATTTTAAACGCTTTAAAATCCACCCATATCTGAGACATCAACATAAATATTCAGAGTTCTAGCATATAAAGTATATCCTATGTGTTGTTGCTACTAACATCTGAACTTTACAAGATCTTGTAAAAATTCACTTATAATATGGACCAAGTATGTTTTCCTATCTGAGCTATGGAATGTTTCTTTCCCTAAAAAATTAAGAATATCTATAATGTAACACCTGAGTTTTAAGATTATAAGTTTTACATCCCCCATACCTCACACAAGCTTTTATTCAGATCTCTCAGTTAAATAGAAATGAATCGACTCTGTTTTTTTCCACGAAGTTCATTGATTTACCAGACACAACTTGGTCAGGCATAATTATGTAGGAAGAAAATCTCAAGAACTAGTTTTATTAGCATATTACCAACATGTGTCATGTAATATACATATAACATGCTAATATACACAGAATGTATCTGTTCACAGTGCTTGAATACCTGGATAGAAACATTTTTAAAGCCCTAAGGCCCATATCTTGGTGTTCAGTTTTACATATTTCACCTGGAAGTTATTTATTACATAGAACTAGTAGAGAATAGAAATGAAGAAAATATTAATGTAGAAAATAGTTATTCTCCACACACAACTGTGGAGGGTAGGGAGGTAGATGGTCTGTGACTGGTCATTTTTGCAGGGCTGCTTGCTACATACGTACACATCTTAACCAAACCCACCTGAGAATGCCAGGTTCTTCATACTAACCAAGACTCTGCTCCTGGTTTTCAATTATCAAAGTCATTCACAGACTAAAACATTTCAAGCACATTTTATTTTCATTGACTTCTCATGAGAAAGGAAATAATGGCCCTGGATATGGTAAGAATCCATCTGGAATATGGGAAAACATGATTGATATTCTAAATCATTATATATATACAAATATATCTATCTCTAATAGAGATGTGTGTGCGTATATATATCAGTTGCTTAAAAGCAATTTGTTATTGGCATTCAATATCATAACCAAGGGGAAAATGTCTTTCTGAGATAGGATAGTTTTAAGAAGCCATTAATTGCCTCTGCTTCGACCATGGAAAATAGCATTCATTGGCAATTATGCCAAAGGGTATGAGGTGTACTATACTATGTAAGGAAAACAAGATTCAATTGTAAAGGCCAAGGGGAATATTAAGGAAATGGCCTCAACAGTTTAAAAGGCAATATGCTAAGTACTTTAATGTCCTAAATGTACATAGTTTCTCTCAAGTGGAATTAATAAAAGAAACAATTCAGAGCTGAAACTGATATAAATGTGAGTATGGTGTTCAGATTTATACAATAATCTTCATTGACTTCTGTAAAAATCTCATGAATCATAATTAATTTGGATTTCCAGATTGAGAGAAACAGAAATGAGTAGTTTTATTTTGTACAGCCCAGCACTCACCATCTCTCCAAAAGCATAAGTTGTAGACAACCAATCAGTAATAGTGTATTGGGCAAGTTTATGTCTGACCTCACTGGTTTACAATTTACTTTTTCATTCTCTTTCCATCCATTGGCAAAAGGCTAATAACTGATAGGCTGAGGGAAGGTATTTTGTCAACCAAAAATGAATTGGCAATCAGCTAATTCCAAAAAAATCAAAAACATTCTTTCTTCTATAGGGCTGGAAAGGGTGTCTTAACTCTTATTTTTTATTTTGCCCATAAAATAATCAAATGTCAAATAAAACCAATACTTTGAGTATACTTTAGCCATAGAACCAATTTTTAAATTTATTTTACTTACAGAATTCACTTTTAATTTTAAGGCAAAAAATATACTGCAGGCGGGGGGGGTGGTCCAACCCGTCCTGTAGGCTGCATGCGGCCCCACACAAAATCATAAATTTACCTAAAACCTTTTTTTGCTCATCAGTTTTCATTAGTGTTTGTGTGTAAAATGTCGGGCCCAAGACAATTCTTCTTCTTCCAGTGTGGCCCAGAGGCACCAAAAGGTTGGACACCCCTGTGAGGATATTTATGCTTCCCATCAAACTAAATACCATCACTTTTTTCCTCTTCAACTCCTCCAAAACACCTCTCTTAGAACTCCAAGTTACTCTTTGCTATGATTTAATATCCCTGTGGTTTTGGCTTGGCCTTTTACACAAAGTTTCTACTTTTAGTAAAAGTGTTTTCCCGAGGTGTTTCCTTCATCTTCGGCTTGCATCTGACTTCTGTAGGCTTCCAATTACATTCTTACAGCTTTTCTGCACCGGCTCCACTTCCGCTTCCTCTGTGCGTGGGATTATCTCTGTGTACTGGGTGTACTAGAAGATTACCTCCAACTTTACGTTTCTGGAATTCCTGCTTCTAGATGATCGTGAAGACTCCCCACTGTGTTAAGATTTTATCTGAGGAACTGAAAAGAGTCTTATCTTCTGCTTCTTTGTTGGTTCTATTTGTCCTATCAGACAAAGAATTAGAAACTTCTAGGTTTACTGCTATTTATATTGGTATGTGGGAATTTCCTCTTCTGTATTGACCGAAGGTGTTAGCAGACCAAAATTAATTTTGTTTTCCTGGGTCTTAAAAGCATGTTCTCTTTGATCGTAGATTTAACTTTTTTTCTTGTCAACTCTTCACTAGTTTGTTACCTTTCTCCACGTGCAGAATACCTGTTGAACCAGCCAAGCTGTAAGACTCCTGTAGATTTATAACAGTTTTGCTTCTTCCCCTGACGTAGGAGTTTTTGTCTTTTGTTTCACAGTTCTAGCTTCCGAGGGTTTTTTTTTTTTTTTTGGAAGTTCTTCACTGTATTCTTTTCATATTTCTTTACATGAAACTTTTCTGTTGATGTAAGCAGCTGAGAGACTCTAGTTCTTCGTCAGTTCTGGGTCTGTGTCTGGGATGTTGGAGCATCCCCGACTCAGCTTTTCTCAAAAATAAGCTCATATTTCCTTACCTTCATCTTTGCACATTATCTGTTTGATAAGGCAGATGTTTAGATTCTTAAGTGTTCTTTGGCCACATATCTTCAGTTTCAGAGGCATTTGCTTTGAATTCATATTCACAAGGATTATAAGAGAAATGTCCTTGACTGGATTTCCTGGCTCATCCTTAATTTCGCTCACTGAATCAAACATTTCTTCAAATCCACGACAGTCAACTTCCAAACATTGTGGGTATCTCTCTCTCTCTCTTTCTCTCTTTCTCTTTGGTATTCTGCCATAAGTGGGTTCCAAGAAGTCTTCGATTGCATTTTTTTTTCTTGATGGTTTCAATGAAGTATTGACAACTGTTGGCTTCAGGTTTCCTTTTGGTATTCTTTGTTTTTGTATGTCCTCCTACATTTTTTTAAAGTTTTTTTTTAAAGATTTTATTTATTTATCTTTAGAGAGGAAGGGAAGGAGAGAAGAAGAGAAACATCAATGTGTGGTTGCCTCTCGTGAGTCCCCTGCCAGGAACTGGCCTGCAGCCCAGGCATGTGCCCTGACTGGGAATCGAACCGTGATCGTGTGGTTTGCAGGCCCGTGCTCAATCCACTGAGCCATGCCAGCCAGGGCCTCCTACATTTTTTTTTAAATTGAAAGAAATAGTATTTTTTCTTTCAATTTAAATTTCTTTCAATTTAAATTTTGAGAAATAGTATTTTTAATATATTTTAAAAAGATATTTTAGATTTTTCTTGCAATTTCTCTGATACATCTGAATCCTTACTAAGGGTTTCCTATAAACAAGAATTTGAAATTGCCATAAGTAATTACAATGTTTTTCAGATCCTCTCCTGGATTTACTTAGGAATTACCTGGAGGGCTTCCTGTTGAGTCGCATCTCTGCTTCGGGATTGTCACGAAGTCCTTGATACCTGCAAAGTCTTCAATTTGACTTCCATTGTAAGTGTTTTGTCTGCGGGTGCCTGTTGGGCCTTTGGTGGGTTCAGTCTTTTCCACACGAGCTCTCAGAAGTTTCGTGATCAACTGTCAGTCTGGCTGATTCACAGTTCTCCCCGGAGCTGTCCCAGGTTTCTCGTTGACTGTGTATCTTCTGGGTCCACAGTTTGCTGCTGGGTCTTACGCGGGCTCTGCCTTTTCCTGTGTCCTAAACAATCTCGATACCTGTGAGGGTTGCATCTTTTCTACATTTCCGCTCGGGAGATAAGGAGTTCGGGTTGCTTTTGCTCTCCAGTTGTACTGCTTGCCTTGGTGTTTCTGTAAGGCCTCTGAAGCTTGTCTGATCTCCCTCCTCAGAGCCCGCATTTTCTTCAGTTATCCCCAGCAGTCCCCCGAGTATTCTTAGATTTTCTACTTGTTCTGGACTCCACTTTCCGTGGACACCAACATCATGTTTGTTCCTCCAGTTCTTTGGGTGTTCACAGGAGCTCCAATGGCTGCCCGGCCTTCCACGGCTTCTGGTTTTGTTTTAGGAATCCTCAGCAGGCCTGTGAGGGTTCCTGAGTTTTTGTGGGCTCTGCTTTGTGATTTGCATGCTTCTGGGCTTCCTGTGGAAATAATCACCATTTATTTGTTTCTGTTTCTTTCATTATTTGTGGGGACTCTCTGATACCTGCCAAGTCTTCCACAGGTTCTGCCTTTTCTTCAGGTGTTTTCAGAAGTGTCTCAAGGAGTGTAAGAGTTTCTGCCATGGAGCACCCCTAGGCTTTTTGTGGACACCTAATCTTATTTCAATAAACATCTGTAATCTTATTTGTTACTAAAAATGCCCTAAGTTTTAATCCTGCATTTGAGT